TACACATGTATATGTATATGTATGTGTGCACATTTATATGTACATATTCGACGAAGGTCTACACTGAAATTTAATCAACTAAGCAGCACGTCGAGTGACCCCGCACAAAGGGTCGGAACTTAAAGACACACAAAGTTCTGTTTTCCAAGACTGATAATCTTAATTGCGTGCAATTGATAATCGATTATTGCAAAATCGAGAGCATATTCCCTTCACGCTATACAGTATTCAATATAGCGGAACCAAATATGTAAATCTATGTTATAGCGACAGATGGTCTGTAAATGGTTCACAGACACTCGAGTGTTGCGGACAATTTATTAAAACTCGGCTGAAGTGTATTTTTAACAAATCACTACATAAATTAAATACTACATACTATAAAGCAATCGCCGTGACTGTACATAGTTGGTATTTGAAGCTCGTAAGTTGGTGGACTCGTTTGAATCCTTTTCCTGTATAGAAAGGCCCGTCAACACGGCAGTAAATTCAGTCGATCGTGCTGATTTGACAAACTGTCTCATTAAGATGAAGTCGCCATGACCCTTCTACCATGGCCTTACGCTCTTGTGTCTAGTACTGATATATGAGTCGTGTACTCTGGTGAACACTTTCAAATCACGCTCTTGCACCTCTCTCACTCTGTGACAGCTCACAACTGACATAAGCAGAAGCCTAGATTCGGAATCATATTTTGTTTTTCATTTATATAAAAAAAGAGCCTCGGCCCTCGGGGCCGGCTCACGGCCTCAGGGCCTCACTCTTGTGTTTGTTACACGTTGATGTTGGATATTTTTATATATATAAACTTTTTGATATTATTGACGTCATAAATATAACACCGCTGACGTCGGTGGGGAACTAAAACCTCTGAAGAAAGGGAGAAGTGTTATTTTTTATTTTTGGGTTTTTGACTTTCGTACCCTTATTTGTTTTGCGACAGCGCGCCTTATGGTTAAACTGCAACTTCAATTTTGGTTCACGTTTGGATCCAGATTTCCAATTTCTTTTTTTTTTGGGGGGGGGGTGGTTCGACTGTTCGTTTTCTTTTACGTTATTTTCTAATTTTGGGTTTTCGTACCCTTGTTCTTTTGGGAAAGCGCGCCTCATGGTTTTAAAGGCAACTTCAATTTAGGTTCACGTTTCGGTTCAGATTTCCCCTTTTTTTTCTCTCGTTGTTTTTGTTGTTGTGGGGTGGGGGTGGGGGAAGCCCCCAATATCCTTATCTCTTCTACTGCTGGTACCACATCGTGTTTCTTGTATTGGGCCTTTCTATATTCATGTACTGGGTCGTAAATGGGCATAAAAAGCTTCATTTAATTCTTTATTTGGAATCAATAAAGTTCTGAGCGACCTAATAGCTATTGCTTTTAGTGATTAAGTAAATATGTACAAGATCTACATACAATCATATTCAAATATTCATTTACAAAAATACATACATATTTGTTTAAAAAAATGAAACAAAAAACAAAATAGTCTAAAATTTATTAGAAGAAGGCTATACTTTTTTTATATTTTGTTGTACATACATACGGACTTGTCCGTTCTCCCTTAAATTTTACACTTCTAGAGGGTCATGACATACATAGCACGTTTCCAAGAAATCTTCCAATCAAAATTTTGTCATTTTAGTGTAGCCCCTAATATTATTATTAGCGAGTTTAAAATCTGATCTCTATTCATATAAAAGAATGACTCACGGATGACCCATTTTTTGCACTACAAAAACATGGTTTTTTTACTTCTGTTTATTTTTAACTTTTAAAAATTGACAACAAAAGACCAATAGCTATTAGTTACCATGGCCCTGAGGCCCTCTGGCCTCTCTACTAGTAGTAGTACTCTACTCTCTACTCTGGAATTTGTCGCTGGATAAAAAATGGATTCTCTCCACGGGCGGCGGGCAGGCGGGGACCGGCACGGCGGCACCAGGATGAAAATCAATTCTGAGAGACAGAGGGACATGTTATTTTTAATGCAAATAGTTGTTACATATTTTATAATAATAGAAACATATATAGTGTTATGACTCTTTGATGACTCATAGTTTTGAGAATATTTATCAAACAATACATACTATTTTAGTGACTCAGAGAGTCTCGGTCTCTTACTCTCTACTTCTGAGTGACTGAGAGTCCCACTCTTTTTTAGAGGGCTATGATAAGAAATTAACAGCCTCCTTTCGATTTCTCTTTACCCTCTTCTAATGTAAATAGTAATGATAGAAATAGGACATGAGCGCCAGTGGAGCCCTCTTGGAGGGATATTTGCAAAAGAGATCGAATCTTTATATATAAATTGAGTCCAGTCACTGATTGAACTTCAATTCCGAATAAATCTGTAACACCAAATTAGACCGAAAGTATAGTAGTAGATTTAGAGCATTGTATTACGAGAGAAAATGCAGACCAACTTCGAGGTGTTAAGAACATTGTTTGCGATGCTGAAAATGAGAATGATTTTAAAGAAACAACGTTTTACAAGGTATGAAGGAGGAAGCAATAGGTAGATTTGTTTGTCGTGGGTGAAAGGATGTGCTGTGTCAACTTGTGCACCCACTGCTAAGCTAGCCTTTATTTGCCTTCAAATTTTGGTTTGAATTGGTGACTGATGTTCATCAATATTTTAGTTGTATCTCTGCTTTGTGTACACTTGCCTGTGCGTACCCATCAATCTTTTCTGTCATAGTATATACTTACCTGTTTTTTTTCTCTTACACGCACATCCTAAACAGATCACACTCTTGCTGATATCTCTGGGGCACGTGATCGCTGGCAGTATAGCAGGGGTCATAGCAGTCCATTGATGTTTAAAACTGTCGTTTATAAGGCTGTGACAATGTCAGCACAAGTGATACCATTACAGCAACAGCACGGGCGAGTAAGTACTCTGGCCTGAGTATAAGCCCCTTGTGGACTGTGTAAGTTGGATTTTATTCAAGACTGACATAATGAAGTCCACCCGTACTCTAAAGTGGATGCTTGTGCAGTTCTCCATGCTGACGACACGGCCTTATTTGGTCTGGACTCTGGACTATGACGGTACAACCAAGCCTACTATGGCGACACTGGACATAGGGGCCGAGAACAGCACCCACTACATTGAGCACCCTTCGGCACACAGTGATAATGCCAATCTATTTTGTCTTCAGATAAAATTAAGTAAGCCGTTTATTGAGAACGGCACCCAATAAATTGATTACGTGTATGGGCCAACGATGTGTGGGTTTATGGCAATGGAGATAGCGGTGACGGAATTAAACCACTGTCGCAGCGCTTCTGAGAATCTTTTTTAAGCCCTTGTCGAGGATATATAAGAACGTTCCAGTACCATTTGCGACACAATTGGAGTATTTAACTATAATAAAAGATAAAAAAACCCCTTTTTTTTTTAGATGAGACACGCTTTCTAACCGGGATTGGGAAGTGTTTATTTAAACTTAGAAGGCTGACAACAACGATACAGCACAGAGTTGACCATCTCAAGCTGCCCGATAGGACCTTCACTCGAGAATATGCCATTTTGGTGCTCTGAAAGCATAGCGATATTTGAGAAAAAAGCTCGGTTTATATGTACATCTCGAATTCGTTCACATCATTACCAGAATTGTTTTAATATAGACAGTGCACGAAATAGGCGTACAAGCAAAATCACCTGATCAATTTACACTCACTTAGCTACATCTTCCTGGCTTATATGTCTCTAGTGATGGTATACCAAAATTTCTATACAGACGCACTATAACAGCCGAGTCCTTCTGAATCTGCTGTTTCTGCACGGGTGCACTGGTTTAACATCAGTGTCATCATGACTGCCCATACGATATACTGTTATGGAAACAAAGTTCATCGTCACACCCACCTACTTCATGGTGCTGAATCTTCCAGAAGCAGCGCGATAATAGTCTCTGTACGCGTGCAATCTAATTTAATTCTTTGACTGAGCAGGGGCACTTGAAGGGGTTTGCGTACGTCCACCACAACACTGTCACCTCACTTCACACACAATACAGAGATGAAAAAAGGGGTCACACGTCGAATTAACTTTATTGTTCGTTCGTGGGGTCTATTGCTTCATAAGCTACATTACAAGGGTCTCCGTACGATTAGCCTGCAATCTATTGCTTCTTCTGTTTCTCATCCTTTGACTGGGCAGGGGGGACGTTCGTAGTGGTCTGCGTACGTCCGCCACAACACATGCCACACAACACAGTTGTACAGTGCAGAGAACACAGCCACAGCAGGAGCAGTGCCCACAGGAAGGACGTCGATTCCGTGGTGAGAGCACCTCCCTTGCCGAACTCCTGGGATTGGGGATAGGCAATGGCAGCAATTAATATATATATATATATATTATATATATATATACATACTGTTTACTCGTACACACATGTATGCACATCTCTACGCCAACACATAGTTACTGCATACGGCGTGTTTATAAACATATACATTTGTAACCACGCACTGATCTACACTCACCTCAGGGCCAGACCACAACTCTCAAGGTCCGGAGAAACAATACTGCGGTCTACACGTAGTAGAAATACTGGTATACCTACTGTCACCACTTCATACTGGCAGTTTACCATGTGTTTGAGGCAAAATATTTTCTTTCACTCGCTCAAACATTACCCTATACCCATACATAATATACGCAAAAGTGCGCTTTCTAAACACACACACACATGTGTATACCTGGAGGTTATGCAGGATATACTACAAGGTCCTATATATATACACATACACTTATCTATAAAGATGCGCTATATACATACATACATACATATATACATTCACACACACACACACACACACATATATATATATATACCTGAAGGTTGTGTAGAGTGTTCTCCATGGTCTTCTCCGTCAGTTGGTTGCGGTCGATCATCGAGAAGATGATCACCAGAGCGCACACAAACTCACTGAAGCTGGTAGTGATGGCAACCCTAAACAATATAAAATATCAATCAATTTAGCATACAAAGTATATCAAAGGCAGCTATCCGGAAAGCAAACATCTTAGCTGTGTGGATGTACTTGTGCGATGGGGTGACAGCAATACACCATACCTATCCAATCCACTACGTGCCTCACATGTAGTACTCGGGGAGTTATCCAGACAGGTGTCCATAGGAACATACAGTGGGATACCGGTGTCAGATATTAGCATCGATAATATATATAATATATAAATATATATGCGTATGTGGGTAATTAAAGCTCTAAGCTGTTTCATAACACATTGGTAGGTAATGAGTACTACAATAGACAACTCACAGCTACTTTAGAGACACACAGAAGAAAACGTCCGGGCCCAATTAATAATACCAGAAGAATCTGCCCACGCAACCACACAAAAGTGCGAACGTTATTCTATACACATACCAGATTTAACCGAAAGCTACACTTACCCAATTTGTGTACAGTTGTTGCCTGAGACAGACAGAACCACCATTAGTGAACAGATCATGAAGTTCAGGGCGCCGGCCAATCTCATTTCCAATTCCTGTCGAAAAAAGCCGTTTAATTGGGATTAGGGTGAATAGAATCGGAGACAATTGCATATCTGGTCCTGGATGAACCACCAGCAAGATCAGAAACTGTTAGGAATTCGATATTCTGACAACGATTAATCATAATATGGAAGTACAACTTCACAAGCCTGATAGTTACTCCAATCATGACCGACTATACGTCCGAGGACAATGGTCCAATTCACATACGAGGACAGAGACCAAATTTGCGTACGAGGACAACGATCGGATTTACGTTTGAAGACAATGAACAAATTCATGTTAAGAGGTCAAAGACCAAATTAGATGAACGATTGCATATTAACAACGTCGAGTAATTGCAGCCTCAATTTACAATCAGCAGCAGAAACTCGGCCTCCACAAGTTATACTCGTACTATTGAGGAGCATGTGCGGCTAAACAAACATAATAGTCTCGATCAAGATAGCGCCACTAGCACGAATGTATAGTTAACTGAGAAGATGATGAGAAAATCTTACCCAATCTACAGGTATACTTCTTATAAATTTGAATAGTATGGGCATACGAATAATAGGCCTGGAATGCGATAATTACCAATTCAATACGAATTTATACACGCAGATGGTTTCTCATACATTCAAGCACATACATACTCATAGATCAGTTTATATTACACACACACACACACACATATATATATATATATATATATATATATATATATATACATACATACACANATATATATATACANATATATATATATATATATATATATTTATATATACATATATATATATATATATAAGCATATATAAATATAAATATAAATACATTCATATATATATATATATATATACATTAAACATACGTGCATACATACATAAATACATACATACATACATACAAGCATGCATAAATACATACATATATACATAAATACATATGTAAATAAATTGCTGTGACGTGGAAGGTACTACTGTCCACAATGTAGTTTCTTACAAGCAACAACAATCCACCTACCATATCACTGTGCGCCATATCCAAACACTGCCAGGCGGCATATGCGTGCACACTGGCCGTCATGAGGCAAGAAAACATGTGTACAACTCCCATTTTACAAGTTTATAATCAATACAATGGATTCGAATAGTATCTGCTGTACTCCACTGGTTTGGTCCAAGTATATATAGCGATATAGTATCGTTATTTGTCTTCTTTGTTTACTTTTCGGAATTTGCACCCATGCAATAAACGTTGAACGCAATCGCAAAGGCAGTTCTATTTCATACGTTTTAACGTAAAAAAATATAGGCTGCTCGCTGAGAACCACAGCCAGTTGAAATCCCGATATTGCATGTAGTTATTGTAGTAGTATAACCCTTTACCTAGTGCACATAAACGTTTAAATTTTAGCCGTTTAAAAACAAGAAACGAAATACAAAAGACGTGACATGTTTTGCACGAGCGCGTGAAGAGTTTATTCGAGAGAAAAAACAGGCTAAGAAGTACCGAACATCGCAATGAATAAGTACCGAATGTCTTTTAGTATACAGCCCGCCAAAAGCTATGGGGCACCATATAGATAAATAAAATATGATTTGATTCCATAGGTGTTGATATTTAATATTTTCTGTAGTTACTGCAATACTTGTTTATAGGCAAATATATGTGTAACCTTCTTAGTATATGAACAGGGATGACTGACAGGATAGTTGTATAGTACGCATCGGGTGCAAGTGAGCCTTTGCATACATATTTTTACATGGTCAGAATGTATGCGAAAGCCCACTAAAGACACACACTTATTGGCGGAGATGACTTCACAGCGACATGTTGAATCGCCTGTAGGAGGAGAAAATGGGACTGATAACAAACTAGAAGAGGACAAGGGGAGGGGTGTGAGACATTGCGACAAGGCCGATGGGGCTAGTCATGAAGAATCACAACGCACAGGGTGGGCGGAGAGGACTAGGCATGAAGAAATAGACAATAAGCAAAGCCACAGGGGAGACAGGGATTGTGGCAGTGGAGCGGGCGATAGGCGAAGGTCTATACAGCACACACACACAGAGCATAGGATGGATGATACAGTACAAGGCGATAGGCAGAGGTCTGTACAGCTCACAGAGCGAGCGGAGAGGACTAATAACGAAAGGACAGAGGACAGACAAAGGACAATCAGACAATTAGACAGAGACGATAGGAATCAACACAATGAGATGGAAAACAGGCGGAGGTCTATGCATCATGCAGAAAGAGACTATGGGTGCCACAATACGGAATCGGAGGAGAGGCAAAGGTATACACAACCCACATACGGCAAAGCTAGGGATAGTTATATAGATAAGGATAGTTATAGTGAAGTGGACTATAGGCGGAGGTCTTCACCATACAATTACACGCAGAGTAAAAACGAGGACAAAGAACGAGATTACAGGAGGAGGTCTATGCAACACACGAGCGTAGAGATTAAGAACAAGGACAAAGAACGAGAGGACAGAAGGAGGTCTGGACCTACCAACCATGGGGGATATGGGAACGATGGTAGCGAACGGAGCGATAGGCGGAGGACTACACAACACACACGCACAAAAATCGAGACTAATGCCAAAGAACAAGGGGATAGACGGATGGCAAGACAATCCGCAGACACAGGTGATAGAAACAGGACCCAAGAGACCGCTCGAAGCAATAGGCATATACAGTCCCCGCATAGTGCTGATAGCGACAGAAACGAACAGAGTAGGAGATGCGTACAATCTGCAGGCGATGCAATGAAGGATACCAACGAGAAGCGTAAAACATGCACAGAGCCTAGAAGTGATGTAGATAAGGGTGGTAACGAACAAGGCAAGATACACACAGAATCTAGAAGTGGCGCAAAGAGAGATAGGAACGAAGTTGCACATCGCACAGGGAGGGCGTTCGATGATGTGTGTGGTGACACGCACATGCCGGGTCTAACTGATTCAAACGTTACCGACAGACGTCCGCAGAAACGACGGCACTCTGCGGCACTGGATGGAGTAGCAGAGCAATATGTTTATAGCAGTGCTCCGGTGAAACGTGCGAGAAGAGGAAGCGAAGCGAGGCAGTATACTCAGTCACGTATGCCCCCACAGAGAGACCCGACAATAGACACATCACAACCACGCGATAAGTTAGGTACATCCCCAACACACACACATGCACGCAATCAAACCCCTTCAGACACACACACAGCTCAACGTACAGTCCCAAATAGTGGTACCAACCGCGGTTCACATACGGGTGATAGTGGCTTTAGACGCCCGCGGAGCGATGTGGGTGGTTCTACAGATACGAGTGGTATTGATATGGGTAGCGATAGCGCAGGTAGGCATAAAATAGGTAGCAGCGATGTGGGCAGCAATAGCCACGCAGAGAGTGGGAGGGCGAGTGCGAGAAGAGCGGCGAGCGAGTGCGGACGCGGTTTCCATGGCAACGGTGCATCCGGGAACGGGCAAACACCTGCAGCCAGCAAACGACTTCGTTATAGTCTTGATGGAAAACACCACCGAGAGAGCATGGGGTAGGTCTTTTGTCTATAAACGTGTATTCAATACTGCTATATGTACGTGTGCAATATATATATATATATATATATGTGTGTGTGTGTGTGTGTTTGTGCACGCGTGTTTAGTGTGTCAAGCGCTATGGGATTGATGAAAAACACCATAGAGATGATGGGGTTGGCTATATGTTCATGGGCATGTGTATTAATTCTCACGCAACATTCCCTCGTCCCCGCATAAAAGCTCCTACTATATTTACAGATGCATACAATTGTGTATATGATCATTATTTGAAGCAAACTCTTACAATCAGCTAATATACAAGATAACCACAGCCCTCCCTCTAGCACGCCACGGTCCACTCCGCGCGATACAGCCCCAGAAGCGAAGCGGTTGTTTGCGGACGACTTGGACACACCCGCCGGATCTGAGCAATGGACAAATAACCAGGAACAGGTTGAGCTAGACCCCAGACTAGACGTGTGCAGTGAACAGTTTGACCCCGCCATGGCCCTGGCCGCGCCGACGATTCCGCTGCCATTTCCGAAGGTATGTGTGCACTTGCACATGTTCATATACTTATACATATTCATACACGCACGCAAATACATACATAAACGTTTGTATATAGACCTAGAGTAGAAATTTTGATACAACGTACGAAGTATTGTGCGTCCAGGCAATCATTGACACACCAAAATGTTAAATAACAATCTACCCACCTTGGCACTAGTGCACAGTTTGGTGCGGGTGACCCGTTTAATACAAACATTTCTCACAATGGCAATGGGACTATTCCATGCAAGATTATACTCAAGTGCTGTTATTGCCAGTACATCATATTCTGAAAGAACAATAACAGGGTGGCTACTATGCAAAGTTTATTTAACGTCAATTGCTTGTTAACGTTCCATCAGATGAAGGCGTTCGATAATCTTAGCAAGCTGGCAGGATTTTTGTTCGGGGCTCCGAAATCGGGTTCAACAGCAAACACACCAAAACCCAAAATCGGATCAGCCCCAAATTCCGTGGCATCCACACCCAAAACCAGAGAAGCGCGCACACACAGCACTGGTCTAACGCTTTCGAACACTGCCAATACCAGCACTGGCCCTGACAGTTCGGAGGCAGATAATAACACTACTATACTAGGCAGTAATACAGCCTTTTCGGGTGGCAAGACCCCAACCAATTTGTCCATATCATCCCAAATCGGGTCTACTTCAAGCCCGAAATTCATCTCTGAGACCAAAACAGCCGAGGACACCACCAGCAGTAAATCGGCAGAACTCCCGGCAGTAGTGAAGCGGATAGGAGCGGGTGGTGCAGCAAGCAAGCACACACAACACGCACACAAAAGCAAACACGCACACAGTGCTAAAGAGAGGATGCCACAGAAGAAACGGCTGCGAGACGTCTTGCAGCGCATGCCGGCGTTTGGTGAGGAAGGGGGCCCGTTGAGTGTGCTGTACACGTGCTTCTCGCAGAAGTGCCGGACGAGAGGTGGGTTTTTGATATGTACATACATACACTTGAGTGCATATACATGTCTAGATCGCTACTTGTACGTGACGAGCTGTTAGTTGTGTTGTGTCACGTGCGTGGTATAATGTGATAGTGAAAGGGTTATGGTTGTGATTTTACTGTATGGTATTGCGTGATCAATCAAGACCTATGATGCATGGCGAGGGGGTAGCCAGTTAAATGTGCTGTACTCGTGCTTCTCGCAGAAGTGCCCGCCCGTATATATATATATATATATATATAAGTGTGTGTGTGTGTATTATTTATTTTATATATATATATTATATATATATATATATATATATATATATATATATATATATATATATATATATATATATATATATATATATATATATATATATATATATATATATATA